ACGAACTTGTTGTTGTACTGGACGAACGGAAGACGATTACCACGAGCGAATTTGTTTAACGCTGCAGCTCCTGTTGCTTCTGCCGCAGCAGCATGCTCACTAGAGAGTGTTCTGACCATTGCAATTCGATCCCATCGAGTTAACTTATCTATTTCCTCTTGCGGTACGCCAAATTTCAGAAGGACCTTGAAAAAGCACACAACTGTCATTTAGGAAACAAACAAAGGGAAAAAGAAAACCTACCTCTCGAGCAGCTTCCATGCTTAACCGACGCAAATCCGCATCAGTGCCCGTAACAGCACCACCACCTCGTGCAGCAGCTGCCTTCTTCTCGACCATTGCACCAGTGTTAGGCGGTCGTAAAGCCACTCGTATGTAACTAAAGCCAAGGCCTCTACCAGTCGGATCACCCGGACCTATAATCTCAAGTCTCTCAATGCCATTACGACCCTGTTGGAGATCATTAGAAAATGCCATAAAAGCAATTCAGACAGTTCCATTACCTGCATCATAGCAGCTACAAAGTTCGCCGTCAAGTTCCACGGAGTGATTAGGAGTTCCCGCTCTATGTGGGCAGCAGTGGCAAGTGTTACAGGCACATCTGGTATCTGGCATATTGCTGCAGCAAGACCATTTTGATGCGTCAGCTTATTAACACCCATTCTCTTAAGATGATGTTGCCCTGCTTGCATACTTTCATAAGAGCATACCTGTTAAAGACAAAATTCAAATATTTGCTACTTAATATTGTTAAGGAAGAATCTTGACTCACATTTTCAGGCGTCACCATTCGTCGTAGCTCCTCTTCGGATGGGATGCGATAACCTTGTCGCATAACCCATCTCATATCTCCGTGTGGTCCTCTCTGCATAAAGCGAGCAACGGAGTGGCAAGTTGAACGAAGTGACATCGATGTTAAAATACCTGCAAGTCGGCACAATGTTTCAAACGTTTCCGAATGAAACCATCCGTAAGCGATGGAAAGTGAGCCATCAATTCATCGGCCCCAATTTGTGATGACATCCCAGGCTTATCTTTTGCACGAAATTCCCGGTACACATGCACTAGGAGCCGATTACCAAGGTAGTGTAAAACTGTTTTTGACGAAGGAGCAATGACCTCAATATGAGGTTCCTAATGAGAAGAGGACTCAAGTTACAACAGGACTCAAAAAGAACAAAAAAATTACCTGCTGGCCAACGACGTGAAGGCCATCAATACGCCTCAAGGAAAGCTTCCCCTTTGAAGAACGAACTAGAAGAAAATCTGTCGATGAAACGCGGTGTTGGAAAACAGGAGCGCGGTACATATTCGTTTCTAGACAGGACTGAGTTTCTCCAAGGCGAATGTTTCCCAAAAATGGTGAATCTTCAGCCGGTTCAAGTGGAAGAACTGCACCAATCCAGGAACCTCTTTCCTCTTTTAATGTTGCGGCTGTACTATCCGTCGGAGACATCTTCCTATAATAAGTTGACAAAACTGCACCCATCCCAACATTGCTCAGTAAAAGGGGACGTTCTTCGCAATACCTGCAACACAGGAAAGAACAGCTTAGCAAGATAATTGCTAAGAGCCACACTTACTCCATCAGAGCAACGTGTCCATCTTTGACAGATAATTCTGATTTCTTTTTGAACGCCCCGGGTGGTCGAGTAGGCTTGTTTTCACCTGGAAGCCGTTGAGCCTTCGGCCATGGATGAACTTTAGTCCGAACTAGATGTAAAACAGAATTCGGGGGAACTCGTTGCTCTGCGAAGGACTTGTTCGATTCCAGCTCCCGTCCAGAATACATAAGCTTCGTATTTTCCGACGGCTTCAAATCTAAGTAAAATCCATGTCAGTTAACAGCATAGATTGGTTGTCACATACCTCCAAACTTTTTCGAAGCCTTCATTTTGAATGTTTCTAGAGTATCAGATGCATCAATGTGAAGCCTGCTGCCCTTGCCGCCTAGTGTTTTCAATATCACTTTCATTGGCCCTCTCGCCGCAAGTTCGCCTTGTTCCTTGGCCGTCATCTCATTGTGGTGAGGGAACCAGGTAGCCTTTGGACGATGAAAATTCGCCAGGTCCTTACTGCAAGCACAATGACACGAAGGTAACAATCAATCCAACGCTACGAGAGACTTACTTCGTCAGCTTAGGCTTCATTGTTTGCAACCTCAACGCAGGAACAGAATGCGCAACCTTAACTCCGCCAACGATAGCCCGCTTCTTCGCCTGTAGCTTTTGTTGCTGAGGCGTCTTCTTTACGACATAATACTTATCGTTCGAAATATTGAAGCGGGAAGGAAGCATGACGTCCGCCGTCTCTGATTGTTTTCCTTTCGAAGTCCGTGGGCTTATCAACATAGCAGCTGCATGGTCCCGAATGCTCTTCGTTTCCCGTACGTCGGAAACCTCAAAGACCATATGACTGTCCATGAGATCGAAAATTGCCCTGTATTTGCTAGATCTTTGCTTCGCATCTTCCTCATCCCAGCAAACGTTACTCAGCCACGTTCCTGCCGCTAAGTCCGGGTTTTTGAGCTCCACCTCGAAGTTTAGCCTGTCCAGCTTTCTCGAAAGTTCATTCCCCGGCTGATGTCGCCAAGCTTCCAACCTGAGCATTTGAGGATGTTTGCTAGCAGTTTTTGACGCCCGTCTACCATCCCGACATAAAGGTTCCAGAATAATTAGCTTGTCAAAAGCGTCCTTCCCGCTCACTGATGCTTGAAGGTGAAGCCTGTCTCCCTCTGCCGGCTCCGCAATTTCGAAGTCCTCGTCTTGAGACGGTTTCCGCTCCGCATCCCACACGATTTCGGTCTCCCAGTCAAGTTGATGAATAGGATCGAAGTTCACTGAAAAATCTTTTTCGATGTCGGCCAGCGCAGGAAGCTTCTTGTCCAAAGGTTGGCAGCTAAGGAATTTCGGCCCTACCTCGTTGAGCTCATCTGCCAGCTCCTGGCCTTCTCTAGCATCAATCTCCTGGTAATACAGCTGCGTGATATCGTGATTTTCAGGTAGCACTTTCAAGACTTGAGCCTCATCATCATCAATCATTGAATCGAATCTTCCGGGTCTTCCTGCAATGCAAACATTGAACCAACGAAGAATCAAAGAGAGCTTACTACCTTTGAAGTGTGACCTTTTTGTCCGTAGTTTTTTGTTACCAAGCATCCAAAAAGGCTGCTTCGCACCAAAAATCTCAGAAAACTGTAGAATTTGCTTGCCGTGTTCTTGAAACATAATTGGCAATTCAAACTGCTCACTTTCATCATCTGCGGATAAGTCCTGCATCAAGAGTTATCAGCAACAAGCAACAAAATCCCATTTACTACCTCATAAAGCTCTTCTTCTGAGTCGATGTCATCCTCCGATTCATCGAGCATCTCGTCGGGAGAACCCTCAACTTCAATCTGTGTTCTCGATAAAGGAAGGTCTTCTGGACTCGTAACAGGAAGTAGCGCAGTAGACAAAGGAGACGCCGAACTTGGAGACGGCAGTATTGAACTCGACGAAAGAAGAAGTTCTGGAGTTGGTAAAGGTGTTTCGTCACTTGCAATAGACACAAGCGGTTCGTCAGTCGGCTTAGGAAGGTCTGAAAAATCCAGTCACACCTAGACCAGAGGAGCGTAACAACCAAACCTGGAGCAGCGGGCACAGTATCATCCGGAAGCTCTTCATCATAGTCATCCTCCTCAACTTGCTTCGAAGGAACAGCTAGAGCAGCTTGAGCATAATACTGTTTATCCTCGGGCAGCATTTGGCCATCATCTTCACAAGCTTCGTCAATATCTTCGTAGTCGACGGCATCCTCGGCCTTCCTGTCATAGTCTATGAAAACAACCATTAGAGTTTCCTACTTCCAAAAGTTCGAGACTTTCTCACGTACCATCTTGTTCCTTCAAGGCCGCGGAAGCGGTGAATTGCCTAGCCTTGGAAGATAGCTGTGACGCGAGAGAAAAAAAAAAAAAGATTTAAGCACAAAGTTTGAAGGCTCGAACAATGGAGTCACCTCTAGGTCAACCAGTGAAGGACCTAGTTGATCAGCTAATGCAAAGAGGTGCTCCTTCGCTTCCTGGCAATACCAAAACTATTAACTTCCTTTCAAATTTCATCCAGAAACCGTGAAACACAGCCTAGCGCAAACGCAGCAGAAGAAAAAAAAAAAAAATTGAAAGGAAGAACTCTTCGCTGCAGCAGCATTCTTTCCACTCCTAGATTTCCATTTTTTTACAGCAGCTTCGCCCACCAAAGAGAATTTTAATCCCAGCCAGCACCTGCGATTGCCTAGACTCTAGAGCTATACTACTGCCCACAAAAATCTTCGATCCAGCTGCAATGAATGCAAAAACTAGGGAAGATTTCATGTATACACACCTGATCCAGGTACTCCACATCAAGGTCTCCCGTGTCATCGACGTTCCCAAACATAAACCCTAGCATCCTGCCCGAGCTCTCCTCCTCTTCCTCTTCCTCCTCTTCCTCTTCTTCTTCCTCCCCATCCTCGTCGCCGTCGCCGCCTAAGCTACCGCCGCCGCCACGCGCCGCCCTGGCCGCGCCGCCATACCCTCCATAGCGCTCGGAGCTGTGGATATAGGGCTGCTGCTGCTGCTGCTGCTGCATCATTAGGGTTATTCGATGGGCGCCTCGCGCGGCGCTGCTAATCGGATGCTTGCTTCTTCTCTATTTCCTTGTGCTTCTTTTTTTTCTCTGTTCTATGCGGTGGACGAGGGAGAGAGAGAAAAGAGAGACGAGCAAAGAAAAAAATCGAGAAAAAATTTTTCAAGGGCTTCCCCCTTGTCCAAGGTCGCCCAAAAAACCTCGGCTGCGAGTTTATATAGGCCCCTCCTGGCCCAAATGGCGGTGACTGGCCAGCCTCACCGTACAGTACGGATAGGCCCCAAACTTGATTAGGGTTCTTCCTTGGCGGCGGCCATGGTATGCAGCAGATCTACGCCGGCGGTGTCAGGGCGTGCGGCAATGCGAGGAATCTCTCCGAGGCGCGGCGGCTCCACGCCGAGATCGCCCGTTGTGAGCGATTGCGGTGCACGTATCTCCTCAATCTGGTCGTGGAGATGTATGGCAAGTGCGGCGCCGTGGAGGAGGCGCGCTCGGCCTTCGATTCGATGCCGCTGCCCAACGATTTCTCCTGGAACATCCTCATCGCGGCGTACGCGAAGAATGGATTCCTGGCACAGGCGAGGGTTTTGCTGGACCAGATGCCCTGCCACTGCCTGGTATCGCGATGCTCGATGATCTCGGCCTACGCGCAGCACGGCCTCGTCGCGGCGGCGGAGGAGATCTTCACCAGCACGCGCGGCCGCGACGTCATCTGCTGGACGGGATTGCTCGAGGGCTTCTCGCTGGCCGGGAATTTTGATCGCGCCAGGGCTCTCTTCGAGGCAATGCCGCAGCAAAATCTGGTGGGCTGGGTGGTGATGATGTCCGGCTATGCGCAGCGCGGGCAGCACGATCGAGCAAAGGAGATCTTCGACTGGGCACCGAGCCGGGACGCGACGCTGTGGAACGTGATGATCTCCTCTTACACCCAGAGCCCGGGCGAGCTCCTCCAAGAGGCCAGGTTTGTATTCCAGAGAATGCCTTGCCATGACGCGGTAACTTGGAACACTCTCATTGCAGGCTATGCGGAGGGTGGACTGGCGGACGACGCGATTGATCTCTTTCGCCGCATTCCCGAGCGGAGCGTGAGGAGCCGGACGAGCATCCTCTCGGCGTATGCCCAGTCCGGGAGTCTCCGTGAGGCGAAAGAGATGTTTGATGGGATCTCGGAGCTCGACGTGGTAGCGTGGAACGTCATGGCCGGGGCGTATGCCCAAGCCGGGCATATCGCGACTGCCAAGCTCATGTTCGATCGCATCCCCAAAAGGAACTCCATCTCCTGGTACGTCTTGCTCTCGGCTTTCTCTCACGCCGGCATGGTGGGCGAATCGCAGGGGCTCTTTGCCACGATGCCGGAGAGGGATTCGCTCGCGTGGAGCAACTTGCTCCTGGTTTACTGCCAAGCCGGAGACCTCTCCATGAGCAAGGAAGCATTTGCGAGAATGCCACAGCGAGAAGTTTTCTCCTGGAACCTGATGGTCCGCTCGTACGCCCAGGCCGGATTCATGGACGAGGCAACCGACGCGTTCAATCGAATGGAAGGCAGGAGCAGCGTGGTGTGGTCGACCATCCTCTCGTTCCATGCGCAGCACAGAAACTGGGAGAGGGTGAAAGAGATCTACGACAAGACACCCGAGCTCAACGCCACATCCGCGACCGCCATGCTGGGCGTCTACTCTCAAACCGGGCAGCTCGAGCAGGCAAAGTCGGAGTTCGACGCGATGATCGAGCGGGACAGCGTGAGCTGGAACGCGATCGTCTCGGCCTACTGCCAGCACGGGAAGCTCTTGCAGGCCAGAGCTATGGTGGAGAGATCCCCGCAGCAGTGCTCGGTGTCGCTCAACGCGCTGGTGGCCGCCTACGCGCACGCCGGCCAGCTCGAGCAGGCCGACTCCATCTTCTTCGCCAAGATGCCCGAGAAGGATACAGTGAGCTGGACGTCGATCATCCAGGCCTACGCGCAAAACGGCCACACAGACGAAGCGTTTGATCTCTTCCACCGGATGCTGCTCGAGGGCGATGCTCCGGACGAGGTGACGTTCTTCGGGATCCTCGGGGCTTGCGGACACAACGGGCTCACGGAGCGAGCTCGGGCGTGGTTCGTGGCGATGAGCGCCGACTTTGGAGTGGTGCCGGTGTTTGATCACTACTGCTGCTTGATCAACGTGGTGGGAACCGCCGGGAAGCTGGAGCTGGCGCAAGAGATGCTGCGGAGCGTCCGGGATGGATTGGCCGGGGGTGAGGATGAATCCGTGGCGTGGACGACGCTCCTGGCGGCGTCCAAGATCCATGGAGATGTGGAGCTCGCGAGAGCTGCCGCGAAGAACGCTTGCGGGCTTGAGACCCGGGGTTCGTCGCCTTACATGCTGCTATCGCATGTAGAAGCGATCAAATCATGAAAGAGTTTGTGATAAAATTCTACTAAATGATAGAGTTTTACTTGGAACTTCTAATCACCACTTGTTCTTGTTCTAGACCTAAATTTAAGAGAGGAGGAGAGCGATCGCTATCGATCGGTCGATCCCAGGGATTCTATTCTAGTGCCGTCTCGCCTTGCAGTGCAGATCAGCGATGGCGATCGACAGCAGCGCGCCTTCCGAGTCTTCGCCGATCGGGCCCAGGGGTGAGTGAGAGCTCCCCATTTCAATCTCTCGGCTCTCGCTTGACCTAGCTCTCGATGTCTAGATGCGTGCATTGTCGGCGTGGCGAGGACGCCGATGGGCGGCTTGAGCGGATCTCTCTCCGCCCTGGCTGCTACCAAGCTCGGATCTATCGCGATCCAAGGTAGAATGTCATTCGTTAGCGCTTGCATTATTCTGGGAATTCTTCTTGTAGGGGCGATCGCGAGGGCGGGGATCGATCCAGCGCTGGTTCAAGAGGTTTTCTTTGGCAATGTGTTGAGCGCCAACCTCGGCCAAGCTCCCGCCAGGCAGGCTGCCATGGGTGCTGGCTTGCCTCCTTCCGCTGTTTGCACGACGATCAACAAGGTGTGCGCGTCTGGATTGAAAGGTGTGCGCTTCTTTTGTTTTTTTTTTCTTTGTTCTTGTCCTGGATCAGACAAGGATTGAATTCGTTTGTCTCTGTCTCGCAGCGACTGTTCTTGCTGCGCAAAGTATTCAGCTGGGATTGAATGACGTGGTTGTCGCCGGAGGCATGGAGAGCATGTCTAATACTCCCTATTATCTTCCGAAAGCAAGGTTCTCTTTTTGCTTTCTTTACTTTTTTCTTTTGAGATCTTCACTGGTCCTGTGATATTGCTTGTGTAGGCAGGGATATCGAATGGGTCACGGGGAAGTTATCGACGGCATGATGAAAGATGGTCTTTGGGACGTGTATAATGACTATGGAATGGGAGTGTGTGCGGAGATATGTGCTGAGCAGCACACGATCTCAAGGGAGCAACAAGTATGCCGCTTTCTATCTCGTTTTTGCGGATGTCGTGACTTCGGCTTCAGGATAATTATGCCGTTCAAAGCTATGAGAGAGCGATCGCAGCGCACACGGCGGGTGCCTTCGAGTGGGAAATCGTCCCGGTTGGTATTGAGAATTTTCTTCTTTCTGGTCCATTTGACTAAATGCTTTTCAGGTCGAGGTCCCCGGAGGGAAAGGAAGGCCGTCTACAATTGTTTCCAAGGACGATGGAATTGACAAGGTTATTTTGTTCATGAATATTTGACGTTGATTTACATAAACGTCTCATGCACAGCTTGACGCAGCCAAGCTTAAGAAATTGCGTCCAGCTTTCAAGGAAGGTGGTTCTGTGACTGCTGGCAATGCATCCAGCATCAGGTATCATGGCCTTAACTTTGAAGCTGGCTCTCATGCTTGTTAGAGTTTTCTCTCTAGCGACGGTGCTGCGGCACTCGTGCTCGTAAGTGGAGCGAAGGCATTGGAGCTTGGACTGAAAGTTATTGGCAAGATAATTGGCTATGGTGACGCTGAACAGGTATTGAATCCTTTCCAATCTGAAAGAGTATGCTGAAACACTATCTGTTTTGCTAGTCTCCCGAGCTCTTCACCACGTCACCAGCTCTTGCGATTCCAAAAGCTATCAAGCACGCCGGCATTGATCCATCTCAAGTCGAATACTACGACATCAACGAAGCGTTTGCAGTAAGTAGCCAGCAAAAACATCCACTTCGGGCTAAACATCCCGCCGTTCTATTCCAGGTGGTTGCTCTCGCAAACCAGAAGCTCCTCAACCTCGATCCCGTAAGTTCTATGCCATAAGAACAAAAATCAAACTTTGCCTTACAACTTTACTTGATCGCAGGAGAAAGTGAACGTCCACGGTGGTGCTGTCTCCCTTGGCCATCCTCTGGGATGTAGTGGTGCTCGCATCCTCGTAACACTCCTTGGAGTAAGCTCACTTCAATCAAGAATTCAAAGTCTCTGGAAATCTTATCAAAATCTTTCCTTTTGTCTCTCAGGTTCTCAAGCACAAGAATGGACGCTATGGAGTGGCCGGAATTTGCAATGGTGGCGGTGGAGCCTCGGCTCTAGTCATCCAATCTCTCATGTAAGGAGAAGAATATGATAGAAATAGTCTCAAAACTAAAAATTGCAGGACGGCAACTAACCAGGGCCATTCCCATTTGTAAGCCTTTTAGCTAAATAACCGGAAAAATCTTAGGGTTCTATCCTTGTAACAGGGACGCTATCTCTCCCTTCTCGGCAATGCAGATCGCCGCGGGGCGAGTAATCACCAGGGACGAGCTCGCGGAGCACCGCAACGATGGCGATCTGTGGATCAGTATCCAGGGCAAGGTCTACGACGTCTCCAAGTGGGCCGCCATCCATCCGGGTGGAGATCTGGCCCTCAAGAGCTTCGCAGGGCAGCCGGACGCGACCGATGCGTTCCTGGCCTTCCATCCGCGGCAGCGCGCGTTCCAGATCCTCCCGAAATTCCTCATTGGCACGCTCGCGGATCCGGTGCTCTCGCCTCTCACGGCCGATCACGCCCTGGTCCTGGAGCGCCTGGGAAAGGCAGGGTTTCTCACCGTGGATCTCTTCTTCTACTGCAAGATCCTCGCGGCAATCGTCGCCCTGGTCACGGCCTGCGTCGCGGGGGTGATCTTCTCCTCCAGCGCGATCGTCCACTGCGCCAGCGCGGTCCTCCTCGGCTTCGCGTGGATCCAGGCTGGGTGGATCGGCCACGACACGGGCCACACGGGCATGACCGGCAGTCCAAGGGCGGATTCCTGGATAGGGCTCTTGATCGGCAACGCGCTCTCGGGGATTGGATTCCAGTGGTGGCTGCGCAACCACAACGCGCACCACTTCTCCTGCAACAATCTCGAGTATGATCCAGATCTCCAGTACATGCCCATCTTCGCAATCTCCTCGCGGTTCTTCCGCTCCTCGCGGGCGCTCCACTCCTACTTCTACGACCGCGAGATGGCCTTCGACGCCATCGCCAGGCTCCTCGTCAGCTACCAGCACTGGACCTTCTACCTCGTCATGGCGGTAGCGCGCGTGAATCTCTACGCGCAGTCCTTCATCGTGGCGATCTGGAGGAAGAGGGTGCCGCACAGGGGCTGGGAGATTGGATCGCTGCTCTTCTTCTGGGCGTGGCTCTTCTCGCTCCTCTCGTATCTCCCGAGCTACTCCGAGAGGATCGCGTTCCTGCTGATCGCAATGGCCACCACTGGGGTCCAGCACGTCCAGTTCTGCCTCAATCACTTCTCCTCGCCGGTCTACCAGGGGCGGAGGCCGCGCGGCGATGGGCAGTGGCTGGCGGATCAGGCCACCGGGACGCTCAATCTCTCGTGCTCCAAGAAGTGGGATTGGTTCCACGGCGGGCTCCAGTTCCAGATCGAGCACCACCTCTTTCCACAGGTGCCCAGGCACCACTTGCGGGCGGCGTCGGAGATGGTGATCAAGCCACTGCTGGTGGACAAGCATGGCTTGGATTATAAGATGGTGACGTTCTGGGAGGCCAATGTGATGATCATCAGGACGCTGCGCGCGGCGGCGATGGAGGCCAGGGACGTGAGCAAGCCGCTGCGCAAAGGCAACATGCTGTGGGAGGCTGTCAATGCACATGGATGATTCTAGGCTAGGCTGGCAAATCCTGTATGATATATGTCGTTTTGCTGGGAAAATATTCTTGCCACCTTTTATGCTCCAGTTCTTGCCACCTTTTGGGCATATGCTCCCATGAGTGTAGGAGTTCTTTCCACCGTCAAATGTTAGCTTTTGGTCGCAAAACCAGTTTGTTGTTGAATGGATTAACCAACTTCACCAACCAACCTCTCTCGGCCTCGAGTCGCTCAGCCGTCGCCCACGATCAGAGATTGTGCAGTGTGGTGTCAGTCACAAAGCTGTCTCGAATGGTGGCCAAGGCCCCCCCCAACCAAAAGTTTGGTCTGAGGAAAAAACGATCCTCTCTTTGTGAGAGATCGAAGAGCAATTCACCCATTCTTCAAAAGGTGGTGGTCTGTTTTTCGCAGCATACAAGATTTTGTCCGCTGCCGTGTTTTGTGGTGAGGTCATCTGATCTTATCGCGTGCTCTCTGCGCAGATCCTTCGTCGCATACCGTTTTCCTCCTCCACTGCTGCCACAAGGATTCTCAATCCGATTTGGACGAGGAACAGACCAATTTTGCCCTGGAGCTGCCCATCTAGTCCTCCGTACACTCCTCTTGTTGACCGGCAGTGAATGGCTGTTAACCAGCGGCTGACTAAGAAAACATTTCGAGAAACACATAGGCTTTGGCACAGCATGACAGGATCTTTGTAATGACTTCACCAAGCAGTGTTTGGTATGAGATTCTATCTTTCCGTGCATCTGTAAGCTCCCTCTAACTGGTCATTGCCTGAAAAGAACTTACTTTTTAGATTGGCAAGCTCGCTTCCTGATTTTTGAGTAGCGAAAGGCCCTCACTTATCTCCACGAGGAATCAGACGTACAGACTATACACCGTCCTTTCTCCATCACCCGCATAAATCACCAGCCACATCCTCCTTGACAAAATGCTCCATCCGAAAATCTCACCGAAAATCTCTGACTTTGGAATCTCCAAACTTCCTTCTTCACAAATTTAAATTTGTATAAGCGAAGATCATGGTGAAAGCGTAGGTCGAGCGCCACTTTTTCTGTCCACCAGGAGTGTGACCTCGTGGAAAACCAGCTCCGCTGCCCAAATATCTTCCTAGCATATCTGCAAAGTTGGACGATGGAATAATGCAGCCTTTTATTAAAAACAGAATATAAATAAATAAAAGAAATAAATCATGAATGCATAAGAATATTTCGTCAGTAAGTAGCCGTTAAGAAGCATATGCCTAGAATCTAATCATCTGCAAGATTCTGGAAACTTTAAAAATCGTTGTCAAAGTCAAGAGAAGACGTATCGCTCGAAACCACCCAGTCGTCTCACAGATTCGAACCCGCGACCACACAAAGCCCGCACACACTGAATCACTGATCAAAAAGAGGATGCGAACAAGCCCAGCACAACCGACGGGCAAGATCCAGTGGTCAGAAGAGAAACACGCTTTCGTCTTTGCGTGCTTGAGCCGGCCACCTCACTCCGCCAATAGGAATTAAACAAAGCCGAAAAAACCAATAAGGGCCTCCAATGTGAATGTCAAACCAAAACATCACCATATCAAATCTTCTAGAAAATGCATGCATGCCCCATGCCACCATGCAATGGGTCCAATCAATCCATTGCGCCATCGCATGCATTGGGGGCGGGGGAGAGAGCATCACGGGACCAATGGCCCCACGACGCGTGGCGGCAGGCCACGTCCTCTTTAACAAGCCGACACCGGCCGTCGGCGATGCCGGTCGCCCCGACCGGGCATAGCCGGTCGTCCGCCACCGCCAGGTCAGCCCACCAACCGGGGGACCAGTTTAATGGAGTGGGGCCGCAAAAACAGGTCCGGTAAAGGGGGCCACACTGTCTCTATGCATATATAAACCTCTGCCAAGTTTAGTGGATGGTGTTTACATTGGAACTTTTACGTGTGATATATAAGCGCTTTGCCTCTTGTGGGGGCATCCATCCATTCATCCCAAAAAGTTCCAAAGCTTTGAGAGATCTTTCTCTCTTCTCTGTGTGTTCTTCGCTCCATTTCATCGATTGATCGGTTGTGGGCGGTTCTCTGTGCGCCAATTTCTCGGATTTGTGCTCGCCATGGAGCAAGATTCCAGCAGCAGCAGTAGCAGTTGCCCTCGCAACGGCAGAAAACGCGACAGGGCCGAGGAAGAAGAGGAAGAGCTGGAGGAACTAGAGGTCCAATCCGGGAATCCCCCCTGTTCTTCCTCCTCCTCCAAGAGATTCTGCGACCGCGCTGCTGGCGAGTGTGACGATGATGGCCAGGATCTGTCCTCCATTCTGGAGGAGGCCGAGCATTCCCTCCGGGAGGCCCAGCAGGGGCTCGTGTCTAATGTCATGAAGAGCCTCGAGGAGGAGATTGCGTGCTCCTCGGACAGCGCCAGCGCCAGCAGCGTGGATTCCCGGGACGATTCGACGGCCTCCCAGCTCGGCTACTTGCTCGAGGCGTCTGACGACGAGCTGGGGCTGGAGCCCAAATTGGAGCAGCAGCAGCCGGCGGTGGTGGAGGAGGAAGATCTCGTCCGCGGCTGGAGCAGCGATTGGTCGGCTGCTTGCACCGCCGATTTCTCGGACGAGGGATTCATCGACCTGGGCGCGAGCCAGCAGCAGCAGGAGTGGCTCCGGCGGGCTCTAGAGATTTTCATGAGCAGCAGCACCAGCGTGGTTCCGTCGTCCTCGGCGCCCAGTGTTTTGGGGCAGGGATTCGAACCCGCGATCGCTGGGCTTATCCTATAGCCGTTGATGAATAGAAAGATTCTAGTCTCTCTCGGTTACAGCCTAAATACAACGTCAGGGAATCACGCTATTGTTTTTGTAGATAGCATGTGCGTGGAAAGAGCGAATCAAATCAAGAGGCTGGAGATGGGGGATCGAACCCGTACTAAGCCCTCTAGCGTACGTCGTGTCAGCGCCCGTACGTCCCACCACTGAAACGTTGTCTTCTCAAAAAGCTGGCGAGAAAGGAATCCCAATGGAAGTGTTACACTGTTCTTTTGATTTCTTCCTTGTAAATTATTTGGGAGCATGGTCAATCCTTGTGATGAACGCCAGGTGGAACTTTCATGGAAGTAAAGTGATCGATCAGAGCTCCAATGCCAAGCAACACATGATCTCAAGGGTGAAAAGAAGATTCAAAGTGGAGACATTGTGGGTGGTGTTCATGTTATCGACTGTGATCGATTTAATCGGTGGATCTTTCCCTCTCTTTTACTTTGTCCCACAAAAGTTGTTGCCTCTCATATCATGCATTCATATAATTCGTGGGACAAGGCATCCCTCCATCGTGGCTGCCACCTTTTTCTATAAAGACCACAGACGATAGTTTATATGCACACACACTGATTGCATGTTGGGATGGTGGTGGCGGTCTTGTTGACAAGCAACAGCACCACCCCAAGTGCAAGGCTGGCTGGCTGAGATCTGATTCTATGATCTTCTTGGCCAAAAATTATTGTCAAATCCATCAGTCAAATGGATAGAAAACTCCACTATAGAACAACCCACACGCATTGTTTGCTATTTTTCTAGAGATTTTGGAGTTTAATGTCCCGTCACCAAGTGCTCCTTGCCAAGTGCCCCATGAACAACTGTAGAAGAGATCTCAGGTCTTCTCCTTTTGAGAAACTCTTATGAAATTCGCGGCTCCTCTGGGCACTGTGAGTCGGGCAGGGAGCACTGGCTCATTGTGTCAATCACGCACACTTTCCTCTGGTGGTTGAGGCGATTGATTGGAGTGGAGTGTGTTCCTAGGGGACTGGAGAATTTTTGTCACGGATCGATCGAGACGTTTAGATCTCGTGTCCGGTTGGAACGAGGTGATCGAAGCTTGGACAAATGGCTCGAAATTGCTTGCTGTCCCCAAGGCTTTTCAACTATTTATTACAAGGAAGCCGTCCCCCGGCGAGACCCGCCAAAATCGGGAAATTTCTGTGAGCTAGAGGAGAAAGCCTTTGTGTCGCTGTCAAGGGTGGATCATCTGCATCGTCCTCGTCTCCATCTTCACCAGATCAAAACAAAACAGCCCACGAGATCAAGCGAATGCTTTGTGAGTGATTCCAAGCGACAAATGTTTGATCTTGCATTGTGTTAATGACCACTAGCAACATGGATCTTGTATTAAAATACTCGAAGGCCATTCTGAGGTCTACATTCTCTCTAGAGGAAAGTTCGCCACCTTTTTCCTCTAGTCGTCCAAACGAAAGAATCAACCACGCCACTGTGGCCATTGACGTACTGTAGACGTATCGGCTTATGCGGCCTATGCGGCCTTTTCAAGCTCATACATTCTTGGTCGCTTTTGTAGAATTTCTACATGAGCGCACAGTTTGAGGGCTGGTCCTTGACAACAACAAGCTTGATCCCGGGCTGATCTTCCTTGATCGTGAACTTCAGCCCAGCGGCGGCAGCAGAGGCGGCGGCGGACTTGGACTTGGAGCTCTCCTTCCAAGGCTCTGCGATCTTTCCAAGCTTTCCGATTTTCTTGACGATTTCTTTCTCCTCCACTGTTCCCGTGACGGTCACTTTGTTCTTCTCCAGGTCCGTGTCGATCCTCGAAACACCTGATCAAAAGAAAAGTTTTCCAAGAGCTCTACGAGTGAAAGAAAAATTTGGACAGTGAAACCTCGCATTTGGGTGAGGCTTGAAAGGATCTTTTGCACGCATTTTTTGCAGTGAAGTCCCACCTTGAGCTCTATGACCTTGATCCAGCAGAAAAATATAAAATTAAGAATCGACTATATTTGCTATACCTTTGTTGGCTTCACTTCGATCTCTGGCTTCTTCTTATCGCCATCCTTTTTCTTCTTGTCCGATCCCATTGGACGCTCCCCTCAAGTTTGTTATCCCGGAACTCTGGAGAGAATGACCCCCATTGAAAGACTTTATAAAATGGCAAGAACTGTGTCGACCGGGTCAATCGGAGCGTGCAACGAAGCTTCAAATGTTCTGCCTCCTCATTTAGAGGCCCTGTAGTAAAAAACAACGGATTAAGCTGATAATAATCTCTTCCCTTAACGCAAGCTTTTTCATCAACCTTCCACTTTAGCTTTCAAGAAAGAAAAGAAAATGAAGAAATGGGCATCCCATCATCTTCATCTTCCTTGCGCTGGAAGGGAAACCAATCCATTCTCGCAAGTCTATGAGACGTCCTTGGAAGGTTTTCCCGGGAGAAAGAGAGAGAAATGGAAGAAGATGATGAAGATCGCCTGGCCCTCATCCCACCCCCAGCGACGAGCAGCTCCGCTACATAGGCCGCCTCATGCAGTGCAAGCGCTACCACGTCTCCAAGCCCGACCTTCTTCCTCACGAGCTCAACGATAAGCTGGGCCACGAGCAGGACAAGTACCTCAAGGTGGGCACCCGCGACCGCCTCCAAGCCTGCATGCGCATCGCCGCCAAGCTCCTCCAGGTGGTGGATTTGCTCAATGTACGTTCAAGTCAGTTTTTACTTTGTTGACCCGAGTCCACGCGAAATGTTCGTCCACTCGACGCAACCCAGACTTCCTGGTCAAGGAGTCAATTCAATGGTAGGATCCAGTCAAACTTTGCAATGTAGAAATTGGTGGCCAGGCGTGACGATCAAGGATGGAAGTTGTGATCTAGTTCTGGAGCAGGGAAGGTTCTATTGCTTTGTCGTTTGGACCTTTTTGTCTTTCTTTCGATCGAGTCGTGTAGCGTCCGGTCAAGCGCCTGTGTCAAAGGTTTTGATTTGGTCTCAGTCTCGTCAACTTTGCGATGTGGGAATTGTCTGGTTCCATACAAGGATAAGTTTCATGATGCATTCTCTGGCGGCACGAAAATGTCTCAGGTGGGTTCTCTTTGCAAAGTTGCGAGTTTCTTTCATGGCTGCTCAATTGATTACAAGTTTTTCGTGCGCCAGATGGTCTCTCTGCGAGTGAACTTGGATTGCTCGGCTTGCAGGAGGAGGATGCACAAGCTGCTCTCCACAATGCGAGGTACACATACGGAATCATGAAACCCTACTCTTGAATTCATGGAATTCCTGGTCTTTCTAGGAGTGGAAATGGTCGAGATTGATGTGCCCGAGCACAGGGTGATTGTCCGCGGGGAGGTCACAGAGAACGAGGTGTTGAGGGCAGCGAGGAAACTTAAGAACAACGTTACCACTTGGGAGCCGCCAGTGGAACAGGAAGAGAAACTAAAGAGACCCCTTGTTGACCGGCATTTGACTGGACCAAGTCAAGTGCTAAGATTTACTAGATGTTAAACGTGTTCTTGTTCGTTCCTGTCAACTTCCACCTTTTTCCATAGAATCCACTTTTGCATATCCCGTATTTCAAACTGGCGGAGCGAATCCGCTAAGTCTTATCAAGAGAAATGAAAGGAATCCCACGAAGAAGGTGGCGGCGATGGTGGCGAGAGAGAAAGAATTGCTGTGAGCTACAAAGTTCTCGACTCGATGATTCCAGATTTAATGGCGGCCACGCGAGGCTCTCCTCTCCATGGTGGGAATGATGAGGGGCATCTATCTTCTCCATCTTGTTGATGGCTGGATGGAAAAATCCTGGAGGGAAATTCTACTCGATTGCACTGGAATCGATCTGGGCGCGAAAAGCTACTTGCGCGAAAGAATTCCACCGATGCCATACCTTTGATTGATTGATATATGGTCAAAAAGAGAAGGTCGATCCGATCAAAACAAACAAGACGAAGAACTCTCCTGTACAGATGAAACCACACCTAGACCAAAGCCGGCGTAAGAAAGCCCATCACTGGATCTATCGATCCATCGGAGTGAATCCGAGACGATCCACGATCACATAATGCTACAATTGTTGTTGGGATTGTCGTCGCTGAAAACGTAGGTGAAGTCGTTGTGGGCGATCCTGGTGATCATCAACTGGTGCTCGTCTTTCTTGCCCGACGATTTGCCGCCATCGCCGTCTTTCTTGTCGTCCTTCTTGGAGCCTCCCTCGTCCTTCTTCTTGCTTGACGAATCGTCGCCCTTGTCCTTCTTCGATTTCTCGTCCTTGCTCTTGTCGTCCTTCTTCTCCTTGGGCTCGAGCATCTCGACGTGCTTGCCTGTCTTCTGGACCCTCTTGAGCACCTTCTTGGGCTCGACGTGGCCCACGACCGTCACCTTGCCGGATTTCTCATCCACAGTGATGGAAGTCACGCCTGCGAGAGAGACGAGTTCCAATGTTCGATCATGTGGATGTCAAGAAGTTGATCGATTACCTTTGAGGGTCGCCACCGATTTCTTGACTCGCTTCACGCAATTGTCGCAGTGGAACTGGAGCTTGAGCACTGTGGTCTGCCAAGCGGAAGAAAGATTTCGTCAGCACTACTGGCAGAGCGGCGATGACGATGGATGAACAGGGAGAAGAAAACAGAGCAAGGAAAGAGCCAAGTTTGAATGCGTCAATGCGAGCAATCGATTGATCCAGGCTACGCTAAGAAGAACAAGAAGAACAAGAATCGATGAGTGCGAGGAAGATCAAAAGCTTAAGAAGAGAAAACTCCTTTCGATTCGAGACGCGCTGTATGAATTCTTCCCGGAAATGCAAATGATCGAGAGGGAGAGAGAGGAGGCATAAGAACGCACTACCTGTGGCTTCTTCTCCTCCTTTTTCTTGTCGTCCTTCTCGCCCTTGCCATCCGACCCCATCTCCAGCCGGAGAGCGCGGAGATAGAATCGCCCACAAAGCGCGCGGGCGAAACAATGGTCGATCAAGCAAGCAAGAAAGAGAAACCCACGCGGAGCTGGGAGGATCAAGCACGGACAGGGAGATTTGCTGACCGATAACGCTCCAAATTCTCTAGGCTAGGGGCGGGGCCGAGCTCTCGACTCTTCTTCCTCTCTATCTTTCCCTCCTCTTTCTTATGCGTGAAGAAACAAACGCGTATGGCTACTGTTTGAGTCGTCGTCCTCGGTCTAACAAAGCACGCTCTGTTGTGAGTCGTTATCACGTGGTCAAATCGTGATAAGAATGCCGCGCGGTACGCAGGGCTGTACACCGCGCGGTACCGGCAGTTTAAAGTGGTACTGCCGCTCAGGGTTTAGGGTTTACGTGTGGATAAGGTACTTCCCACCTATGGCGATGGCGTCGCGCTGCGCGCTCGACAGGATCAAATGTGGGAGGGATTTGTCCTGCACTGCCACCGATTCGCATGCGGCGCCCATGGCTCTGGCGTCTGCGGCGCTCAATGCGCTCTTCTCGTACAAGCCCTTCTTCAAGCTCGCGGCGGGCAAGGCGCGGGGGATGATTGTCGAGCGGGGCGAGAAGATTGGCTACCCGTGGGAGCCGGAGCTCGCCAGGCTCAGGGAGAATGACTGGGAATCGGAGCTCCTGGCCGTCCGGGACGTGAATTTAGAGTACCCAGAGGTATGTATAGTCTCAAAACTCTCATGGTTCTTTATTGTCTTTCATTGATATCTTCTATCCATTTGTTTGATCTTTCGACTTCCTGCATTGTTCTTTCGTGATGGTCTAACGATTGTTTCTTTGTTTTCAACTCGGCAGTATTATTTGAAGCCTTTTCACGCGTACGATAATGGGAACTTGTCATGGGACGCTGCCTTGGAGGTTGATCTCGCGGCCAAATCCGTCCATGCCAATGTCTTCGATCCAGAGGCAACGTCTGTTCTTTTCTTTCCACTTTGTTCGTGAAAAGCTGAGGGTTGGAGGCGCTAACTTTGCAGAGGAAAAAGCTCGATCCTGACGGGGATGTAAAGCTGCGTGATTCTTATCACCAAAAGATGCTACCAATGCTGCGTGTTTCACCGGGAGACGTGCTGGATGTTGGCTGTGCGACTGGGCTCAGTACGTTTGGACTCCACAAGGTTTTAGCTTGCTCTCTATTTGGTTTTCTATACGTATTTGTTATTTCTTTCTGGTTTTTATAGGTGTTTCCTCAAGCACAAGTCGTGGGAGTTGACATGTCACCGTATTTTGTGTCCGTGGCAAACTACAAGCTCAGGGAAGCTTCAAAAGCCTCGGTATGCTTTTGTTGATCTCTTTTGCCGTTTTAACTTTGTACTTGTGTAGGATCGAAAGCTTCCTTTGCAGTTCGTTCATTCTGCGGGAGAATTCACGGGTCTTCCTGACAAAAGCTTCGATCTTGTCTCGATTTGCCTAGTCTGCCACGAACTTCCAAGGAACGCAACTAAACAGGTAGAGACTGTGTTCATGTCGATCTAAAGTTTGCTGGACCTACCGATATTTGCAGGTCGTCGAAGAAGCAAACAGAGTCTTGCGGATCGGAGGAGCATTGTCGATAATGGAAATGAATCCATACTCGGCATCGCTTCAAAGAATGGTGAATAACATATTTGCTTTCACTGCGGTACGCGAGTATGATCTTGACGCATCAAAACTACTAACTGTCTTCGTGTCCACAGTTTAAAGCAACCGAGCCTTACTTCGATGACTATCGAACGTTTAAGATCGAAGAAGCCATTCAAGACTGCGGCTTTAGCTTCCCGGCTCAAGTGGAAAGCTCCCCGAATCACAGAACTATGGTTGCGCACAAGGTTTGAATCCATTCTCGGTCAGCCAAAAGATTGGCACGAGAAAAAAAACTTGCCTTTAAAACTAAAACCAGTTAGACAACTCTCAAAACCATTCTTATTTCCGGAACAAGGCTACAGCCAGTGCTACTAGGATTGGGACTAGAATCCCAAACAATGCACTTATCAGCGAAACTAACTTGCTCTTGGCCTCGCCTTTGGGAGAAATCTTCAACGTTTTGGAATCAGCCGGAGTGGGAGTGAAGAATTTTTCAGACTGGAGAATGTCACCAGGCAGTTCCTGCCCAAAGAGGTATGTGTATCGCTCTCTAATTTCCTGCAAAGAAAGGAGCATTGGTGAGGAAGAAACGAGCATTGTTTTCTACCTTGTCAGTCTCGCTGGGTAGCAGATAATCGCAAATCAGAAGTTCATTCCATGGTAGTAAAACTCTCCTGGGAAGAATAAACTCCGCTCTGTCTTGGCTGTTTATAAAGCGAGATTTAACTCAGGTTCTCTCAAGAAAGAAAATGAGAAGACAGTGATCTTACTGACCTGCAATGTGATAGAAGTGATAGAGGCGCTTGCTCGGCCGATTGTTGCTCTGCTTCTTCACAAAGGATGTCGATCCTATTGCGTAGGCTGGCGATTATATCTTCCTGTTGATACGAGTTTATATAACACGAGAGCGCGATCAACATGTACCTTGATAGCATCAATTGCCATAGACGCAGGCTCGCGAGGAAATCCGTAAGCTCGAGCATCGACAGATCCTTTGAAGTTTACGTTTCCCGTTACGATCGCCGGGTTATCACCTGCAACAGAAAAGCCATATAAGTTGGCCACAAGGAAATAGTAAAGGAAGGAGACCTTGGACAACTTCTTTGTTGTTAAATGGAAGAAGAAGCTGGACATCCCCCGAGTAGTTCTCTCCTTCTTGCTAGCAGCAGGGAAGCAAAGAGATAAAACAAAGTCGATCGTGACGAGAAGTTTAAGGCCTTACGAGTGCGTTATTGATGAGCACCTCGGCAGATTGGATGACTTTAATCTCCGAGGCTGTCCATGAAAGCAATTTGTTTTTGAATGTGTCAGCTTGAGCTGCGGAACGAACTGGTATGCTAGAAATAGAAATGAAACAAAAAAAAAGTGCGTTTATACTTCACACGACTAGAAACGCACCTTGCATCAAACGAATACGTGCACGTCAAGCTCTGCAGATTTGTCGAAATCTTTGCCAGCTTCCACTCGCAAGGCTTTAGTGAAGAACTTCCATTCGGCTCCACTGTGCATACTTTACAAGCCAGCCTATCCAAAAAAGCATATAAAGATGGTGTTGCGTAGAAAAACATTTCCGACCTTCTTGGGCTTGTAGATATCTGTAAGACAAAGCGCTCCTGCGCAGAGATCGAAGTGGCAGCGTCCACAGCATTTGAGACCTGCCGAGAGAAAAAAAACATAAAAACCATAGCAAGAGCTCAAGAAATCTTACCTGACAAAGAATAGCAGTCGATTGCTTGAAGGCGCTGTCTGGAGCAAGGCAATACAGTCCAACCACACTTAATCCTCCTAAAAGCATTCTAGAGACCTGGCAGAGAAAATGTGGTAGCTGAATGAAGGAAGGAAAGTAAAATTGGTACCTGTCTAGCATGCTCCGCTACCCATTCAGCATCAATCGAGAGCGCCATGGATCCAGCTCCAGATCGCGACCGAGATTGATTGCCGGATGACGAGAGAAGCACTGCCGCATCGCCTCCATCTTCCTTGACGGGCGTCTGCACCAATCCCACCACAAAATCCCTCCCGCCGGAGCCCAGCCTGCCGATCAAGAGCCCTAGAGCTACTGCCCGGCCCGCCGCAACGATTGAATCCACGGCGCCGTCGAGCGCCTCGTCTCCCACCACAGTCCTCATCAGGGGGAGGATATTCGTTTAGGGCAAAGCATTTGCCCTTTTTGCCCTAGGATAACGAATCTTATTTGCCCGGGAAAGTAGTATGTTTAAAATGGTGCCCATCCATTGCACGATCGATTTTGCCCTGCCCTAGAGGAGGAGGAGCGATGGGCGTGGATCGGAATTCCAGCCGCAGTGCCGTGGCGCGGGGATCGCCATCGCCGAGAGCCGCCACGGCCGCAGCGGCAGCGGCTGCTGGGGGATTGGCGCCGCCCGTGGCGATGAGCGGCGGCCCTCCTCTCAATCTCATGTTTGATCCTCGGGTAGTGCGTGGTCCGACCTACAGTAAGATGAAGGTACGCGGATCTTCTCTCATCTCTCGAGATTTCTTCCTCAAGGTCATTGTTTCTTTAGACTGGATTCAAAGCTGAGCCTCCTCCCCCAGAGAGGAAGGCCGCCAAGAAGAAAAGAAAAGTTCCTGCTTACAGTACCACACCTCCTACGATCGATGGAAGAAAAAACATGGACATCCAGGTGAGTGTTAGATAGCGGTGGAACACAGCTCATTCGATTTTTCTTTTTTATTCTTCTAGAACATAAAACACAAGAACTTAAGAACTGGAAGCTATGAGCCAATCACGAACCTGGTGTGGTGATGCGCAGACAGATGTCTATCTGGAGGAGCTAGTTGACAGGATTCCAGAGTATGACATTGATACTCAAACTGATCCGTTCTTGGACAGACCAGCCACTCCGCTTTTTATTCCACAGAAGCCAGGTCCGGATATCGGGACACAGGTAATGCGTGAGCTTAGCTTTTATCCCTTTTAACAGTTTGTTTTCGAATGGCTTGTTCCATTTCCAGATCGAAGAAGGAGACCTCTTTAATTTCGATGAGGAGGTTGAGCCAATGCTTGAGGTGTTGGTAGGCAGGACCGTCGAGCAGGCATGGATGGAAGTAACGGAAGAACGGCAGCTTGCCGAGTTGCACAAGCACCAGGTTGGCGCTTTAATAACCACGTTGCCTTTTGCATTTTAAAGCTTTGAGCCGTGGGAGTTTCAGGATCATTTCGAGAAAATCCGTGCGGCAGAACTGGTTGCGACACAGAGAATGGAGTTCTCTGAATGGAGAAAGATTGAAGAAAAGAAGAGACGTGTTGAGCAAGAAAAGAAACGGCTTGAAGAAGAACGGAAACTGAAGGAGCTAGTAAGTTTCAAATCCATGTGACGACTAAAGCTTGATGCTTATGCGTGTGCTCTTGCAGATTGAAACTCAAAACTTTGCAAGGGAGTATTTGAAGAAGATGACAGACTCCGTGCTTTCGTACCTTGAATCTGAGGACTACTTCTATGACCCTGTTGAACGAGAGGTGAGTTTTTATTTTATTTCCTCTCGGGAGTGTAGCAATGCCCTGCAGGTTGAGAACTATTTTATGCCAATGCTGGCGGAAAACATGGAGAGGGAGTTGGAGAAGATTGTTTGCGCTCGAAATACATTGCACTGTGTGGTATGCAAATTGGGATGTTTAAACTGTAGATGACTTCGCTCACGCATCTATGCAGGTGGAGGCTGCCACGATTTCCCAAGAGTCGAGGGCATTGAATGTTGTTAGCGCCATGGTCAACACAATCATTATGTCCGTGGAGTCCTACATGACGGAAGTTGCTACAGCTGATTCCGCTGATTATGTGAGGGACGTGCTGGACATAGTCGAGCAGACTACAAGAGAGCTGACAGCAAGCTCGACGACATTCTTCTGCGACTTCCTGCGCTACTTCGAGTCGGTTGAGATGCAAGTGGTGTACGAAGTCCGGACCATGCTGAGAAGGGTGATTACGAGACACGAAGAAGAGGAACAGGTGGCGGTGGAAGTCGGGGCGATTTTCCGGAGGGTGGTAGAGCAGAACACCGAGCCCCCGCCAGCACCTCCTCCAGAGCCAGCTGCGGCACCGCCGCCACCACCGGCAGAGGGTGAAGAAGCTCCAGCAGAAGGTGGAGGCCAAACAGCAGCGGAATAGGATACGGGGGATTATGACAAGGTGGCCAGATTGTAAACACGCTTTCGTTTTTGGTGGAATGCTGGTTTTCTATCAGTTTTAATTCCTTTTTACAACTTGCTCCTCACATTCTTTCTAAAAAACACTAGTAGTAAATTGTTCTGTTTTGTTTTTATTCGGTTGTTAAGTTTAAAATACAGAGGCGAAAATATTTCTAGACTACAAGTCTTATATCACGAATTCTTTCTAGGCAATACATCGAAGCTCATATCAATCTCTAGAATTGTATGCGTCCGCTGGTTGTGCGATCCCTGTTGTAGGGCTCCACAACAGCTATAGCTCTAGAGAGGATTCTGCATCTTTTTACTCCATAGCTATTTTTGGAATCAAAGGTATTAAGTACGTAGTTTATTTGCAAAGTATTGAGGAAACTTTTGATAAACCCTATTTGCTTCTCCGATCATACAGGCATGTTGAAGACACTTCAGAACACCAACGCATGTGTCACGGTCAGGGTCATCCACGAGGAAAAACGAACGTAGAAGAACCGGAGGAACTCTGTCACCGTATAAGTAAGGACGTTTGAATAAACTCCTACAACAATGGGGAAAAGCCCGACCACAAATGCTTGAATTCACCACACCCTCAAACAAATATTTTGAATCGCTGCGTCCAATGAATGCCTCTATAACAGTTGCAGTCTTTGCGTCGGTGCGATCTCCAAATTCCATGAGCAAGGCGACAGCCTCGGAGACCTGTGCCTTGTCTTGAAGAAATCTCCGCATACATGGGACGACATCCAGGCTATCAACCGGGACATTCTTGAGCTTCGCTTCTTTGACAATCACCATTGCTCTGCTAAAACCGTTGACATTAAGCACTTCGTTGTAGCAACCTGGCGTTGCTCCAGCCTCACACTCCTCTGCCATTGCAAGAAACAGATCATATGCCTCTTTGGGTGATGAACTCCACTCAAGGATTGCTTTCTCGAACACCCTAACACTGCGTTTGTACCCAAGGGCCTTCATTCGCCCAAGTAGATCCCTCTTCACATAATCTTTTCTTCCGTGTGGTAATTTCGGTTGCAATCCAAGCAACACCAATTCAAACGTTTCACCATCGCAGTTCTCGTCGAGCAGATCCGAGGCTGTGACGATGCAATCTAATTCCACTAGCTTCCTTACCATCTGTTGGCGACAAAACCTTTTGCCTGTGACCTCGTCAAATCTAATGAGATCCTCAAGCGCCAGATGACCGTATTCCAACACCAGGAAAAAGACCATATCCAATCGTGCATGCTTGGCTCTCTTTGCTTCCATAGCTAGAATACTAGGGTAAATGGACTCTATACTTTTAAGGACTTTGAAATCCAAATTTGATAATAGAATAAGGAAATAATTCTGGCACAGGTGGGTGAAGTTGAATTAATGTATCTGCTGGAGATTTTGCTTGCGTGGGTTGATTGAAAGCAGTGGTGAAGCGCTTCCAGGGTGGTGGGTGCATGCCGCATTTATTACGAAGGACGCGGCAATAATTGTAAGCACGCCTCCTGTGCACATGCAACACATGGAGAGCGATTAAGGTGAGATTAGTGTCCCCGCAGTAGCGAGCAGCAAGCACCTTAGGACTTGGGCATGTGACATCACAGCGGATTCTTGACCTTTTAGAGCTCCTCCGCTTCTTTGGCCACCCTTTTTTATTCGCCTGTTGAGTGTTAGTGTTTCTTCTCCTCCGCCTTGTGCCAAGCGAGGCGTAAATAACAGATGCTGCGGTTCGTCTGTCCTGCTGCATCCATTTTGTTTCGTTTTCCTGCTTGGCTTTCCTTAAAGTTCCTCGTTGAAACTTGTGAGCGAGAGTAAGTTTGTTTATAGGTAGTGTGGGGCATGAGGTTTGAGCTTGCTCTTCTCACCGTTTGAATCCCAGAGGAGGAGAGAATTAGAGCGAGCAAGCTGGCAGGATGGGCTGGATAAATCATCCGCGGGGAAATGTTATTTAAGGGATGGTTTGACTTGGGAGAGCTTTCTGCGCAGCTCGCGCGCTTCTTCCTTGCTCTGACTCTGGGGGCGAGGAAAGAAGGGCTCGACAGCTACACGGAGGTTTTTTTTATACAGCGCCTGTACATGCTTGCTGGGATTGAAGGGGGGAGGGGCCTGATCTGAACAGCAGCAGCTAGGCATAGCTTGTCATTATAGGCTTCGTAGCTCCGGCCAGGGGCAACCGAAAGAATCCACACGGTTCTAGTTATATAACTTGTTCTTCTGACACTGGAGATCTCGTCCTTGTTTACGTGGTGCCGCGGCGCGTGTCGGTTTGGTTCCCTGTGGAGACACTGTATTTTTGCGACTGGATTTCTGGGACCCTCGACTTGTAGAGGTCTCATCGCTGCGATCGGGCGCCCAGCTCGGGCTGCTCGGGAGGGGAGAATTTTGCTTCATGCAGAGCTTTCTTGAGCTCTAGTATGGGTTGGAGGAGTGGCCGGACACTAGTGCAATGGGAATAGTCTGCGAGCCTTTGTTCTTTGGTGGCGATCTCACGAGGAGGAGCTGTAGGAGGAGGCAGGAAGTGGCTTGCCGGAGCTCGAAGGGTGATTGCGATCCAGGTGGTGGCACTGGCGACTCATGCTTGACGAGTGATCACGAAGCGGCGGCAGCGGCGGCGGCGGAGGATTGCAGCACGGAGCTTGAAACGGCTCCAATTCGCGGCTCGTGTAGTGTCAACGATTCGTCTGCTGGCTCGAGTGGAGGGAGCAGCTCCTCCTGGACATGGCAGTCGAATTCTCCTGGGAGAATTGTTGAGAATGTCCTAGAGCAAGTCCAGAGCAAGGCATCATCGCCATCATCCTCTCCGGCAGCAGCAGAAGCAGCAGTCCAAGGATTTTCAGAAGGGGAGCGCGCAGTAGAGAACTGGCACGATCTTCTACAAGCCACCGACTTGCGTGACGATGGAATCGAGACGCTCCCGTCGCTAGTTTCCGCTGCCTTTCCCTCGGATCAGGAGCAGCACAAGGCACGGTTTCCGAGCTGGGACAACCGGCCTTCAAAGCTCTCAAGCCATCATCAAGCAGACTACGGTTGTTTCATGCAGCAGGACGGTGCGGCATTTGGTAGCAGCAGTAATGTGTTCAGACCACCACCGCAGTTCGTCGACAGTCACAACCTCAGCTTGAGCAGCCAGGCGATGCTATTCGAAAGGCAGCACCAGCATCAGCAGGAATTCAACAGCTTTTCTTCGCATGTTTCGTATCCTCCCGGGGGGACTTTCAACTGTCACGACGGCGTCGCTGCGACTACTGGCAATTCAAGGAGCAACCTTGAGCTCCTCCTTGGATCGAGCGCTATAGATTTCAAGCAGCCACAGCAGGAAGAGCAGCAGATTACAAGTCAGTGTCAAGGAGCTTTTGGTGGCAGCTGGAGTGCGAATGGAAACTTGGGAATTAATGGTCAGGCTGCGAGGAGGAATCACACGGGCGATGGAGGAGCAGGACAGTCACAGGCGCAGCAGCTACAGTCCATTTTTTTGCCGGGTCAAGGCAGCTCCAGGAAACCTGGCATTAAAACCGTGGAGGAGATGTCAAGGAGATGCTCGCTCCAAGACAACAACAGGGTAAGCGTCTCAAATTTGGTTCTTGCAAGCGTGTGCGGTGATTTCATGGCTGACGGAAGAAGTGGCTGACTTCTCTCTTTTCTTTCTGTTGGTTTTGATCAGGATGCAAAGCGTCACAAAGGCTCCACCGCGCAAAGGACAAGGTTTGGCGCTTCTTCCAAGAGAGGTAACTCTCACAAGCGGGAACCCGCGCTCAACACTAATCTTAAGCCGCGAGCAAAGCAAGGTTGTGCTAATGATCCACAAAGCATTGCTGCCAGAGTAAGAAAAAAAAGGAAGAAAAAATTGAGTCAAACTTACACTGGTGTGATGTTTTTATTGCAGCAACGAAGAGAACGGATAAGTGACCGGCTTAAAATCCTGCAGGAGCTCATACCAAATGGATCCAAGGTAGACTAGGAGAGCATTGGAAACTCTTTTTCTCTTCTTTTGCATTGGCTGATTTGTGGAAGAGCAGGTCGATCTGGTAACCATGCTGGAGAAGGCCATCAACTACGTCAAGTTCTTGCAATTGCAAGTCAAAGTAAGCTTTAGCTGCATTTGTTGAAGGCCTTTCTTGCTAAATCTCAACTCTTTTTGCGCAAAGGTTCTTATGAACGATGAGTATTGGCCACCAAAGGGAGATGGAGAGGAAGGTGAGGAGAGAGCAGCAGTGTCGATTGGACTAACTACCTAAAGTAAAACCGAAAGAACTTCGAAAGACAATCATCTATCATTCTCATTGTCAATCATTCTTAATGTCAATGAAACATTGAAAGTTTGGTTTCTTTTTTATATTGTAAGTATGAAAACTTATTTTCTATAAACTAATTTTGCACTTCTTAAGATTATCCAGTGTCTCAGAAATACTTATTCCTGAGCAAAATTAGTTAAACAGTAATTTGAGACATAAATATTAAAATAAAACTAATTCAAGCCAAGAACATTTATATTTCAATTTTACTTTAAACTTGTGATTTTTAATTAGTATTATTCTAAGAATTTTATTAGGATGAGTTTGTTCATAAAACTTTACTTTGTATTTATTTTAAAATCTATAATTTCGTAATACATTTAATTTAATCAAGAAAGCCATGTTTTTTTTAATATAAATAATTTCTTCACTATGGTAATTGGGTATATTTATTTTTATTATGTAATGATAGCTAAAGCATTAAAATAATATATTTTGTAAATTAATTTTCCTCAAGGACCTTGCACTTTTTATATTATGTTTAAAATATTTTTTATGAAACTCTTTTAATAATATTTAAACTTAAAATGACATCATAATACATATTAAAGTGAGTTTAAAATAATATTGGAAGTTATAAATATTGTTTTTGCAACTTAGTCATAGTTAAATTCTTTTTGCTGGTATCTATTTCTAGTAAATTTAAAATATTTACTAAACTAACAATAATGTGTTAAGCACTTCTTAATTTATTCCTAAATATTTTTCAAATTCTTTTTTCCTAAGATAAATGAACTTAAGGTTCAATTACATTCTTTATAAATATAAATTTATAAGTTTTTAACATCCTCCCTTGATATATGAAAATTTATTTATGGAGCTCTTTAAATTTTAAACATTAATTGGGTATTTTAATTCAAAACATTAAAGGTAAATATCTTAATCTAGATTATATGATATAAATATTAAAAAGAATGTTGAAATATTTTTGGAAATAATAATAACTAATGAGTTTTATGATGAGTTATAAATAGTATAATCAGCTGGTTGGTGTGTGCATGGTTATGTAAGCAATTGTGTGACAATGTGATATCTAAATACGACAGGCGTAAATAGTATAAATCAATTAATCAAAGAATATTATGTTATTTATTTAATTAATTTATTCTATTCACTATTATAAATGAAATATTTTAATATTTTAATGCAAAAATTTAAAATAAGTAAATTTTAAAGTGAGTTTAAAAATCATAAAACCTAGAGATATAAGTTTTATCTTACACAAAGTTAAATCTAAAAAATATAAAACTTGCTTTTAGTTTATTTGTATAAGTGAATTATTTAACTTAAATAATATTAGAAAATAGTTCTCATTATACTTACAATATACATATTTTTTTGTTTTTAAAAAATATACAAATAAAACATTAATATTTTAAAAATAAATTAGTCTACAATATTATCTATGAATTTTATTTATAATATTTAATATAATAAATTTAAATTAACTAAAATATATAATTTTTAACTCATTCTTTGTTTGATTTGTCATACAAAAAAAATATTTTTGTGGGTTAAGGTTATCAAGGATAAGTATATATGATAAATAAAATGAAATAAAGATGATTAATAAGATACTTCTTTAGTATAGTGCTCTAGTGTGTTGCAATTATTAAAAATCAAGAATTAATTCTAAAGTTTTAATAAGTTAATATCTAAATTTATTTATAAACATCACTAAATATAAAATTTTTACCTAAAGAATATAAATATAATAACTTGATTTCATTTTGTTATGTAATATGATACTATCATTATTTTCATTCTTATTAATATAAACAAATTTACTACTTTGACAAGTTTTAGTTGAAAGGATAAAACTATAAAGACTATATAAACCCATGAATTTTTTATTAGTATTAGCTTCTAATAAATTAAATTGTATGATAAACCAAAAATTTATTAACTAAGTATTAATTACTTTTTCTCAAAAATCAGATTTTTCAAACTATATAAATTTTAACAATAAATCATATATGTAATAGTGTAGAAACAAAATTCATGGTCAAAAATATCATAAAATGAACATAATCAATTCTTCCTTTAGAATATCTTTACAGAAAAGTTGTAAAAGTAAAAATAAAATTTGGTAAACACGTGGCAGGTTTTGACTGGCCTAAGAAACAAAAGCGGAAAAAAAGCGGGGCCTCGGGTTCCTTGCTTTGTCAGCACCAGCTTTTCTAGCCTACCTTGTTGGTCACGGTTAGACTCTCTCACTCGCGTCGCGCATACAAAGCCCTTCTTCCTCCTCGTCAATCTCATCCATTCAACCCAATCCAAGAGCTAGCGACGTTTTTGTTTTGGGATGTGTGAGAAGAGCCTCCTCTTGTCCCTCGCCATCATTGATCTGGGCTCTCGTCAACGAGGATACAAGTACCAGCAGAGATCCCAAGGAGGAAATCCAGGTAGAGTATCATCGGCAATTCTCTCCAATTCGCCATCAATCGAGCTCTTCGAAGTAGAAGAAATCTTCTACCTCGCGAAATCCATCAAGGCAATGTCCAGCAGCAGCAGCAGCAGCCACCAAAATGTGGAAGAGGGAGGAGTGATCAATCGCAATCGCGAGAAGGACGATGAGAGAGTAGCTCTGGTTGTGCGGGTGGAGGAAGAGGAGGTGGAAGAGCAGGATTCCACAAACAGGGGAACAACAGGGGCATCGATCCAGCAATTGGCGGCGCAAGCCATCGTGGGCGCTGCCCAATCGCACGAAATTCGCGACTCCACACTGGAATCCACGGCGCCTGCTACCCAATCTCTGGAATCTCAGGATGGAGCTGCCACGCCATCGCGCAGCCAGGAAGGAGGATTAGAATTGCGAGAATTGGAAGAGCTCCAGGCCACTCCGAAAGGGGAAGAACACAGGATCCCAGAGCCAACAGAGTGCCCGCCAGCGCCTCGCAAGCTTCCCAGATCCTCCTCATTTCCTTCCTCTTCCTCGTTGCTGCTCTCCACGATTTCGTCTTCGTCCTCGAGGAAACGATCCGCCCAGCAAGCATTCTTCGTCCCTCCCGACTCGGAAGTGTTTGCTCCCCGGCCACGCCAGGAGCAAAACTCCAAGAAAGAAGAGGACGAACACAAGGAAGAAAAGGAAGAAGAGGATGATGAGAAAAACACCAAAGAAGAGGAACACCACTGACAAATTGAGAAGAATTTTTTTTATTTTTTACCCTATTGATTTTTTCACTGCTGACCACCATCTGTAATTTTATTGCAAGAACACCCAATAACACCATTCATTCCATTCCTTAAAGCTCAAAAGCTCGTTTCGTTCGTACCTCTCGACTTGACGAAAAATCTCGGCCCAGAATTTTTATCCAACTGCCGCTGCTGTGGCCGGTGGCGATCCCACTTGTTTGCTCGCGATCTCTAAGGCCTGCTCCACCGAAGAGACGCTTTGCAGCCTGGCCTTGTCAATACTCGGCTGTGCTCTGGCCAGCTTCGGGAGTAGTGCGAATTCCTGCGGCAAAGATTGGAGAAAGAACGGCTCAGTCGATTTGCACGTAGGAAAGATAGACGAAGGAAAGGAACAAAACATCTACCTCGGGCGAGCCGCTTTCCAGAAACACGCCTTTGAGCCGGCCTGTGCATGTAATTCCCGAGTAAAAAAACTATGCCTCGACGAGGACGACGAAAAGCGAATCGAAAATCTTACCGTCGTCGATCCAAAACGCGCCATACTTGTTGTTGAAGTCTCCGAACTCCACAGATTCTCCCACTAAGTAAGTTGACAGACTTTTAAATTCGAAAAAGAAAAAAGAAAAAACAAATGGAAGCAACAAGATAGTACCATTGTCACCGTAGAACTGCCACCACAGCTTTCGAGAGCTCTTCGAGTTTTCAAACACCCGCGAATAGAAGAACGGCAAATAATCGTATCTGGAAGCAGGAAAATGGATTGTCAATCTTTCGGCATTGATGAAGTTACTACGGTCGCGGCTTACGGATCTGTTAGAGTTTCGAGCAGTGCATTTGCACAGTGCAGTGCTGATTTTCTTGCATGGTCAACGTGTTCCACACGTGTAGTCCTGCCATACATCTGTTTAAGCACAGGAGCGTTCAGCAAAGAAGTCTCTTAAATGAAAGACCTCACCTTCAAGGGGAATGCTGCGACATCGCCAATTGCGGAGATCCCCGGAACGCTCGTTCGGAACTGACCATCGACCTTACAAGACAAACGGACTATAAGGAAACGATGACTAAATGGCAGAGCTTTCCTACCTGAATGCCTCCTTCCGCAGTCGCGAGACCGGCGTCCACGAAAGGTCCAATAGCAGGTTTAGCACCAATGCCGACCACCACCTATGCAAACGTTTTGTTTAAAATCCTTCACATAACGGAAAAACGGAGTCACGTACTACGTCGGCTTCTAGCGTGGTCCCGTCTGATAGCTCCACTTTCTCCACCCGACCACTGCTTCCAGAAACAATTTTACTGACAACAGGACCCTTTTAAAGCATGCAATTAGTTTCTCCCTCTCCAAAGTGCGGAAAGAAGCTACCTTGACGAATTTAACGCCACGGTCCTCGTAAAACTTCTCGTAGTGCTTCGCGATTGATGGTGTGAATAATCTAAACATTACATGGGGTTCGGGGAAGACAACCTGTACAAAATAATCATCAAGAAAATTAAAAACACGCATTACCATGCCAAATTACCGTAGTATCAATATTCCACGAGGATGTTGCAGCAGAAACTTCCAATCCTATGTATCCACCTCCAATTATAACTGCTTTTTTTGCTCCTTTCTGGAAGGAATAGATCATTCAAGTACTCACTGTGTTTATATCAATCACTCACCAAGGAAGCTACGAGACTATCTGCATCAGCGACTTCTCGAATATAGTGGACACCTGGAAGGTTTCCTCCAATTTTCTCAGGCAACCTGCAATGCTTGTCGAGGAGAAAATGATAAAGATTGTCTACTTCAAACATACCTGGCGGCAGTGCAACCTGTAGCAATTATCAGGTTTCCATACTTGATTGTGTCGCCGGAGGAAGTTTCCAATGTTGAAGCAGCAATATCAAGCCCAGAAACGGTAGTCCCTTGCAACAACTTGATGCCAAAACATGCAAAAGAAAACAAAAAAAAAAAAAAAACAAGCAAAATCAGTCATACAGTAAGGATGTAGCTAGAACAAGTACCTCGATTCCTTTCTCTTTGTACCATTCCGGTGTTTGCCTCTCCCATCCCGATCCAACACATGTATGAAAACCCTGAGAAACAGTAATCAATCAAAGATGGCAAAAGGCGAGCAAAAAAACTTACAGGTAGCCTGGCAGGTTTCTCATCTAAAGGAAAGAGATACGCCTTCGTCAATGCGGGACGCTCGTAAGGAGGAACAGTCTGCCAAAAACAAGATCACTACATGGGAAAGGCTATACAAAAGCTTACCAAATCAAAGTCTGACCTCTTTAGCTACAATGCACAGCTTCCCATCGGCCAGTCCCTTCTCCGCGAACGCGTGAGCCAGGTAGCCAGCAGAGTTGCCACCGCCGACGATCACATACCTTCAGGGAACGGATCGATCACAACAAACAAATTCAAGAGAGAAATTTTCACCAGAGCCTTACTCGCGATTCTCGTTGAGATGCGCTTTAGCCGCGACAGCGTAGCCGGATCGCCGCGATGCGAATCGATGCCGAGGAGCCGGGAGGACGATCGCGGAATGCGAGAACCTAGCGCCCGCGCCAAAGAGACGAGACGACGCCATGGAACAAGAAGAAAAACCCTGGGCCTCCATTTGAAAAAAAAAATTAAAAAAAAATCGCCATTCAGGCCATTTACTTATAGCGAAAGGAGGCACCACTTGACGCCATGTAAGGGGCAACATGGCCATTGTCTTCTCGAGCCAGCACAGAGTTCGTTTATTTCCAAGAAACCTCGAAAGAATTTTCGAAAACTCAGATGGAGTGGTTGTAAGAGTTTTCTATTGATCGCGCCGGACAGGGGTGACCTGCTGCTTACGAAACAGACGCTATATCCACTGCGTGGATGCGCTCGAGAAAACTTTGATCTCTTAGCACTCTGTCGAAAACTGTTCTCAAGCTTCAAAATTGCAGAGAAACAAGGCAGTGCCCAAAATACACACGTCGTCCTGTCTGATAGATCCACGCGGCCAGAAACAATTCAACTGACAACAGGACCAACAATTTTCTTCTTGGGGCTACCTTAACGAGTTTAACGCCCCGGTCCTTGTAAAATTTCTGGTAGTGCTTCAAAATAATCTAAATATTATATGGTTCAGGGAAGACAACCTGTACAAAATAATCATCAAAAAAATAAAAATAACACACATTAGCATGCCAAATTACCGTAGTATCAATATTCCACGAGGATGACATCCAATCCTATTTATTCACCTCCAATTAGAACTGTTTATTTGCTCCTTTCTGGTAGGGATAGATAATTCAAATATCTGTGTTCATATCAATCACTCACCAAGGAAGCTATCAAACTATCTGCATCAGCCAGGTCTAAAATAAAGTGAACACCTGGAAGGTTGCCTGAATTGAGGAGGAAAATTATGTAGACCGTCTACTTCATACATACCGGGCTGCAGTGCAACCTGTAGCGATTATACTTTGATTGTGTTGCCTGAGGAAGTTTTTAATGTCAAAGCAATAATATCAAGCCCGAAACAGTAGTTTCTTGCAACTTGATGCCAAAAAATGTAAAAGAAAAACAGAAACAAACAAGCAAAATGAGTCATACAGTAAGGTTGTTGCCATAATAAGTACCTCAATTACTTTCTCTTTGTACCATTCGGATGTTTGTCTCCCAACATATGAAAAATATGGCAATCAATCTGAAATACACTTAATATCTAGGGGTTTTGGGTTATAGTTATATAGGTGTGACTGTATGGCTAATGGCCATTTTCTCTATGGAATACATGGAAATACATAAGGTTCTTTGAGAATTGATATCATTGGAATTCCTATAAAGCTTTTTTGGTATTTATAACACCTTTCAAAAAAATAATCCTGGGGATTAGGGCTAAGAGATTTTGGGTTTATGGGTGTTAATTTTTTGATTTGGTTAAAGAGTAGTGAAGTAAGAGATTATTGATGTGTACTTTAAATTTTCTATAATTGCATTAGATAATAAAAGATATATAATATATTAAAAAAACTTATTTCAATATTGGACAGAGGATCAATTTGCTCTATCAAAATATTCATAAGCAATCATGAATATAGTAAAGCCATGCATTTAGGGAATAATGAAGTTTCTTCTACTTGGATTTGAATTATATTAAAATTTAGTGGAAAAGTCTAGTCTCAAAACTAAAAGTATAATTAAAGAAATTTATCAAGAAATTGGTGTGAATGTATCCTATATAAAAATATGGGGAAGAAAAAAAAAGTACTCAAGTGATTCACAAGAATCATACTCAATAATACACTAAGCATTTAACTTACTGTTAAATGCTCATCACGGACAATTCTAGCAATTACATTTTATTGCAAAAGAAAGATGATAATGTTGTTATTTATTGTATATGGAACATCTCTAAAGGGCTTTTAGTATTACAAATTTTTGGCTGATTTAGATGAAACATATTTAGATTTTTTATTAATTGCTATTAAAGTTGATGTTAAAAGAGCATTTCCTTATGATTATTGCAAATTAAATATGTTATAGAACCTAAAAAGTGTATCAAAGGCAATTACATTTTTGTTAGACAAATAGAAAGGCATAATTGTTGTGAATGTGATTACGGGTATTGAAAGTTATATATTGGCTAGTCTTTTCGGATATTCTTTTATTACTGCCATGATAGCAGAAGGTCAGTATTGCTGAACCCTTCTTATTCTTCACCTAAACTAGTTGAGAAATTAGTCATCATGTATGTACTTATGCCGGATAAATATAAGGTAGGAACTCTTATATGTTTGTTGCTGAGCATACTTGGTTTGGTATGAGAAACTCATATGTTGATTTACTCTTGCTAGTATTAGAAACCCCCACAATATTGAGTTTAGTCCCTTAATATTTGTTAAATGATAACTTGCCGTGTTTACTAAACACCTTTGCTATCATGCCGTTTGTGTTGGTTCTATCTGTCCTAATTACTATTTATGGAAAGTGTCTAAATTTATTAATTTGGCATATCTACAAAATGTAAAGATTGT